CTGTTGTCCACATATTTAAATTCACACCGTGGCTCTGATGTAGACTGACACTGTAGCAGCAATGCCATAAAAACCATACCTTAATAGCATGGAGTAAAAAGCAAATCAGTTTCAGTGCATACCGGTGTGAACGGATTACCATTCTGCACAGTTAGTACACAAGTGCAAAGTATACGTGCAAGGGTCAAAATACGATAATGTTGTGACCAACATAATTGTCACTAGGTATGGAGGAACAAGTACCCGGTATCGTAAACGTGTACAACGTTCCAGAAGCTTGCCCACCAAAGTCGTGATCATCAGCAGCAGAAACCACTGATGATCCACTGTTGGATAAAGTTCCCGCCAACACTTTGCCACCGACTTCTGCTTCTTACCATTTTCATCCGTGTTAACCCAGCGAATTCCTTCAGCTTATCCTGCCATAGATTTGAAAGTCTTCCTACGAGCCGTTTACTCTCTCGTGAAATACGGTTTAAGGCATCTCTGGTACAGCGACGGTGCGGGTTCATCTTGCAAGGTGTCCAACCCACTGCCATTTCAATTTCTGCACTCGAGCAATGATGTCGTAGACTATTACCGACTCATATGTCTTTCTAACTTTTTTTGCTACTGCCGATATAATCTTTCTACCCTGCGCAGCATAATCTGCAGTTTATGAACTGCTCACAAGCTTAGGTTCAGATTTCTCACCCAACATACAGCTTGGCACTCAGAGCAGGCACAGATAGCATACTTTCCGTTTCAAGCACAGTTCGGCTGTTGAGATGAACAGTCTCAGATAGACAGAGTTTCACGCTTCTTCATGCCAAAGTCCGTTGACTTTTACGTACTTGTTGTACATGTCCTGAGCTTCGTTTTCAAGTCCAAGTTCATTTTCAGTCATATATATCTTTCCGAAGTAATAGTCGGAAAAAGATCAGCTCAGTCGTCACACCTAAAGGAAGAACATCAGCGGCGTGAAAGCAGTGTATATGACCCTTGAAAAAACGAACGATGATCGTCCGCCGACCATAAGCATACAACAACTGCCAAC